AACACCGGGGGGGGCGGCTTGTTTTACAACGTCGTTGCCAAGCGACGAAAACCCAACCCCGATGGTAAACACCGGGGGGGGGGAGGGGGGGGCGATATCAAAATGCGCGGGGACATATTTCGGCAAGCACGAGCAAGAGCCCCAGTAGCACAGGGACAAGGAGAACCTCCAACGCGTAGAAAACAGTCCTCGTTGCCAACGGCACTCAAACGTACGCATTAAGGGGGAAACTCCAGCGGTACTTTGAACAACCAACAAGTCCAGCCACCCAACCATGTCGCCCCTCCCCGTCGTCCTTCTAACTTCTGCGGGCACCAACCTCACCAGTGCTCGAAGCGCCTCAACGCAAACGCCGGACAGCGCCTCGCTCTCCTGGGCATCAAACCCTTCCTCGCCACCGCCGCTCAACCCGACCAAGCCGTCGGCAGCTTCCGCGCCGCTGCTCCTACGGCGACGAAGCTGCCGCCACGAAGGGGCGCCGCCGCTCCCGTTCCCCGCCCCGCCAGTTACCGCTCCGACCAAGGACACGAGCACGGCGGTGGCATCGTCCCGCAGCTGTCCCCTCCACCGGGCCTCCTGAGCGGCCCCCTTCCTCCTCCCGCAGCCGGCATTCCCCTTTCGCGATCCGGCTCTCTCGCCGCCGCCGCCGCCGCCGCCGTTGTCGATGACGGCTATTGTGCCACTGGGAACGGCCGCTTGGTCTTGTTCCCCGAAGAGCCCGACGGAGCACAGCGACCGCAAGGCCTCGGAACGACCGCCGCAGGCATGGAGGCTTTCCAGGAGAGCCCGGCAGGGTCGGGTACTCGCCGCCGCCGCCGCCGCCGCCGCCGCCGCCTGGCCGCCGCCGTCCGGGTGGTGGGTGGGGGCGGCGGAGGCGAAGACGAGCTTTCGGAGGATCGATGCACCGGCCGCGCGAATTTCCACGTGTTTCGAGTGCTGCGAAGGGGTAGCGGTTCCCGGGCGCGTCCGGTCGACCAAAATAAACGAGGGAAAAGGGTAGTGGCCGACGGGTGACCCATGTGAACCAGACCAAAAAGTTCCAAGGGAAAAAATCCGAGGCACCTCGATATGAATTTTAATAAGAATTTTCGGGGGGGGGGGGGATCAGACCCACCCCGATATGAAAATGACGAACAAATTCCAAGTGAAAAAAACTCGAGGAGGGCATCTGTACGAACATATAAAAGAAGCTTCAAGGGAAAAGTCCGAGCAATATGACGAAGAAATTTCAGCACCTCGATATGAACAAGAATATATTCCAAGAGAAAATGTCCAAGGTTGGTGCATCTGTACGAAGATGTAAATGAGGTGTATCCAGAGCTGCTGCGTCGACGGCGGAGCCTAGCCGACCGGCCAAACACTCAACGGAATAACGCTGCTCGCATGAACTAATGTACGATGCAAAAACCCCACCAATTGGCCAAATAGCATCCGACCTGGTACCGACGGACTGCGCCCGAAAGCCTCGTGCAGGTCACTAACCAAAAATACCTTTCCCTACCAAGAAAAGACCATCCAAACCTCAAACCGGCGCACCACCCTCGACAAATCGAAAAAAAAAAAAGTTCTGCAAAAACGACACGCACAACCTCTCCGGGGTCCTCACCAGCATCGCAACGATCGCCGTGATTCCGCCCGCCCCAGGACCCCCTCCGTCGCCGACAACGCCTCCTCGTAGAACCGCGGCCTGCGCCGCCTCTCCGACGCCTCCCCTGGCGGCGAACATCGCGCGGAGACACCTCGCGCCCTCGAGAGTAGTCCGGGCTAAGGAAAACACCAGCGGGAACACCTCCGCAACGGCTTCAACGTCGAGCTTACCGCCGCCAGCGGTGACATTGCCTCCGAGGCCCGCCTCCGCAGAGTCACCGCCGCTGCCGCCGCCGCCGCTTGGAACTCCTGGGTCTCGTGCTGCCACCGGGGCGGGGGAAGAAGAAGGCCATAGCTCGCTGCACGCGCGGCGCAGGGCGTCGCATGCGCGAGCGCGCGCGGCCTTCACCACGGAGTCGCGCGCGGCCGGGCCAATGCCGCCCTGCCACGGGAAGTCGGCAGGACCCTGCGAAAGGAATGAATGGCTTAGCATGTGCGGGCGGGGTTCCTGACGAGAGCGATCCGAGAGATCGCACAGCAGCTGGGGCCAACTGGTCATCGTCGGCGTTGCGAAACGGCCGACACACCTAACCTACGTACAGCTCAGACAGCAAGCAACGACCAGCGTAATTGACGACAATCTGGGAGCCCAAGCCTACCATGGTCGCACCAACCACCCCCTTCCACCATCTTCGGCCACAGCCAAGCCGAACCAGCACGACAAATACAAACACCCCCCACGCACACGACTAGCCGCGCGGCCTGGGCGAGAGTTGTCTCTCTCACCAGCAATCGCTTGAGGACGGCGGGGTGGCGGCCGTCACCCAGGGGTCTCAGGACGGGGGAGGAGGGCACAGGCTTGGCCGTGTCTGCAGCCACCAGTTGGAACACAACCTGGAAGCGACGGGGGGGGACATGGAATCAGTTGGTGCCAAAGCCGTCGTGGTCGATAAAAAATGAACGGGGAGCACATAGTCGCAACCAAACATGAGAAGGCTGCGCGACTTTCGAGACGGACGACGTATTTGGGGCCGCCGCACCCAAACATCACTAGAGCGAAATTCTTCATAACGCCACGTCTGCACGACCTATGGCAAGGCGGTACACCAACAAGAACACACAACAAGAACAAAAACAACATCAACTGCATCAAACAACAACTACAACAACCCAATCGAAGAGACCAGGGACGCCCGGAACACCGCCTCGCTCAAAGCCTCTTACATCTTCTATCCACTCAACGCTACTCCTAGATCCAACACAGTCTTGCCACAGCTCCGGGAGATGGGGGGGGTACTCATAGTCGTGCGTGCCGTAGTCGTTAGACCATTGACCTCGCATCCCTACAAAGCCGGCACGGAGCACGCCGGGTTCTCACCGGACCAGGCTCTCACATCACCAAGCGCGAAGCGCCGTGAGATATTCGGCGAGTCGCATGAAGGGTGCGCTGCATCCTGCTAAGGGT